CCAGGAGTGGCCCTCCTTCAGCTGCACTAGGCTGTACTAAGCACTGACTCCCTCCGTTTGAGATTTATGGCCTTGGACAAACCCCAGAGCCTTACCTTGGCAGGAACCATCCTCCCCAGCACTCATTAAGGCCTAAATAATTCTCATCAGTATGCGCATAAAATAAACAGGCCTCAATTTAAGACAACCTCCCCGTTGTGTCCTGGCTAATAGAATCACAGTTTGCTGGTTTTCACAATCATAAATATACTAGTTTTACTTTTGTTAAGGAGGAGACGATATTTACATCTATTCATCTTGCCAAGACTTTTTTTTACACTAGATATTGGCTCATGTAAAAAATTACTTCTATGATAATTGATAATAAAATAACGATATATACTCTGTTCAACCACTAATCAATATTATTTCTAGCATCTTTCTATTTAATTATTGCCTCTTATCATCATCCATTTCATTAAATTTTCGACAGGTAGGGAGATAGTATATGAAAGGAAGTAGCTGAACGGTAAGACTACATCCAGAAAATGCAGAGATCAACTAAATTTACTAAACCACACGGCAAAATAGTGGGACAAAAGGAATATCCACTTTGTCTTTCTTTCTTACATTTGACTCTCACCAAAAATGCCTCCTTCAACCCTAGACAGAAAAAAGAACATCCCAGCACACGCCATAGCCTAAGACTCTAGTTCTGAAACACTAGCTGGGCAAGCTATCTTGTTATACGCAAGTGGTAATAGGTAAATGTGTATCTCTCAGGTTCTGAGTCTGAATGAAAGCTGATGAAGGCATCCTCTTCTGCTTTCCTGGGATCAACCTGGGGCCGCCCAGATGCCGCTGAATATGTAAGGCAGGAGGCCGACTCGGCAAAGCTGGTGGGTCAGGACTGGGCTGGGTTGTCTAGTTCAGTGTTCTCAGGAGACCTAGGTGCAGAGTCAGCAGAGGCAGGAGGGGAAATTTGGGCAAAAACACATGTAGGGCCTCTTCATGTGAGAAGGTGGTGGCTCGCAGACTTGGACAAAGTCAGGGCCGTGCAGGGAGAAAGGAGCAGACCCTGAGACAGGCTCTGGGTCCGTGTGCGGGAGGAGGAGACAGCACAGATCTGACCGCTGGCCTTACAGAAGTGACGCACAAGGAGCTCGGAGAGTGCCCAGGGGCTCGGTGTTGCTCTTGTGGGCTACCCTAAATCTCAGAGGAGCCCGGCCATTAGCATGGGCAGGGGATATTTGCTTGGCAAGAGCATGGATCCTGACTCTACTGTGGACAATTTGATATTTTAGAGACATTAAAAAAATTTAATTGGCATATAATGATTGCAAATATTCATGGGACACAATGTGATGTTTCAATACACACAATATATAATGATCAGATCAGGGTGGCCGGCACATCCATCACTTCGTGCATTTATATTTCATTCTATTGGAAACATTCAAAGGATGACCTGATATTTTCAGTTCCCTGCAGGATAATAGAAAAACTAAATTCCTAGGACAGTAGTAAAAAGAAGATAATGCTTCACCAAAAGGGGAGACAGTGAATAAATAATAAATGATAATCATGAATTTTTTGGACTATTTGAAATGAGCAGATGAAAACCAGAAGGGTCATACAAACCTGTCAGGATTATAAGTACTCTTTACCCTCCTGATATGGAATTATTTTGAATCCATGTATAGGAGAGAGACAGAGGCAGAAAGAAAAGGAATTTGTTTAGGAAGATTAAAAGATGATGGAAAAAAACCTCTCCTATATTTTCCAATTATGCGAATAAAAAGAATTCAGATACCTGATCGAAACTGTGCTTTCTCTGAGAGTTCACAGCTATGCCAAGGCCATTCAGTATCCAGTGACCAGAGCTTGGAAGGCAGAGAAGCTATTAAAATCATATGGGGGAGGTTTACCACATCGTGTTAAAAATAGCATAATGTACTGTGATTCAACTTTGGAGGAGCTGATTAAAAAATAAATTCATTAATTATCTCCAATATGAACTAAAAAGCTAACAGCAGTTGTCTCTGAATTGTGGGGCTACGGCTGGTCTTTTTTCTTTTCTTTGTACTTTTTTCAAGTTTTACTACTGTGTATTAATTTTCCAATCAGAAAAAGTCATTATTTTATAAGAGCTCAAAAGATTAAACATAGATACTGTTTTAGACACTGTGGTGTCAATAGAGTTAGTCAGCCAAGTGTCTTCTATTTCAGGTTACTGACAGAACGGTTGGAAATGTCCTTTGTCCCCCCGCCCCCCGTGGAGGTGCTAACTCAGGGGCCCTGAATGTAGGATGAGAGGACCCCAGCTTGTAGTGTTTATCTCTCCCCTGAAAGGGCCCACCAACAACAGAGCAGGCACAGGGCTGGGACAACCAGTAGGGACATCAACCAACTAGTCACTCAGCTCTTGAGATGTGGTAGGTGCTGTTCTAATTTGGGTCTTTGTAAACTATAAACGCCTACGTGGAAAGGGCAGGCAGTAGGTCTTTTAGGCTTTCTAGGCGACCTAATCTCTGTGACAACTACTCGACTTTGGGGCTGAGCAACAGCTTATAGCATCCACCACAGAAAAGCGTGACTGTGTTCCAATAAAACTTTATCTACAAAGAAATCAGTTTGCCAAGCCCAGAAGAACTCTAGTTTTCTAACATAGTTAAAACACAGAAGCTGCTTCAGTTCCTTAAACAGATCGGTCACTATGGAAGGCCACTCCCCAAGCACCTGTCATGCTAATGGTGGACCAGCGGTGACTCTTCACACAAAAGAATGTGCATTATTGTGCTTAGGTTTTTGGCCACTGAATTTGATCATTGTCCTCAAGTGTCTTAAGTTTAGAAATAAGTTTTGTTGTTATTGATGTTGTTCTTTGTTTGTTTGTTTGAGACAGGGTTCCATTATGTAATACAGGCCAATCTTAAAATTGCTGGGTAACCCAGGCTGGCTGGAACCCTCAAGCTTATCTGAAAAGTGTATCAGAACAAAAAAGTCAAGATAAGGTAAATCAAGGTACAGAAGAGTTAGCACTGTGCACTGAAACCAGCAAAACAGTTAAGTCTAAACAATCTTTTTAAATATAATATTGCCTGAATATTAAACATTTAAGTAAAACATATGATGCAAAAAAGTATTGATAACTTTTGGTGGGGGGGCTTACTAGGGATTGAACCCAAAGTCTTTACATTGAAATGCATCCCTAGTCAACTTTTATTTTTTTATTTTTTTTTTGTTTTTTGGTACCAGGGATTAAATTCATGACAGTGCGCTTGCAAGGCAGATGTTTATGCCGCTGAGCTAAATCCCCAGCCCTTAACTTTTATTTTGAGACAGGGTCTTGCCAGGTCACTAAGTTGCTCAGACTGGGCTTTAACTTGTGATCCTCTTGCTTCAGCCTGCTGGGTGCTAGGATTATAAGTATGCACCACCGCATCTGGCTGAGTCTGCACTTTAAATTCCACCCATCTAACTTATACAGTGCTATATAAATAGAAGGTAACTCGTATAGGGATATATAAACACATTCACTCTTGTGAATACTGAATGAATGAATGTCTCTTTCACTAAACTGGTGTGAAATGTGGTTCTTGAGTGTTCCCTCCCGGGAGCCACCTCAGCCCGACTCCACCTCGAATGAGACACACTCTGTTCCTGTATTGGGATGACTGACCCAAACAAGGTAGCTCAGGGAAAAAGTCAGGAATCCAGGTCACACAGAGAGTGTGCAGGGCTTAGACTTCTGCTGCTCTAGTCTTCCTGCATAGCCAAACTGTAGGTAAGCACAGTGTCTGCCTTACAAACACACTGAGGAATTTTCTAGAGGAATTTGATGCTGTCTAGGGCAAGAACTTTCTGGTTGTTTCTAGAAGATGTCAGTGCAAAGGATCACAGGTTGGCCTGGTTAAAGCTGTCACAGATTCTTCTCAGTGACTGTTTTTCAAGTTGATAGAGCACAGGAGTCCTGAAGTGGTCATCCGCATCCTCTTTTTTTTTTCTTCCTCCTTCTCCTCGATCTCTTCTTCTTTCTTGGTTTTTGACACAAAGTCTCACTATCTGGTTCAGGCTGGTCTTGAACTCACTTCATAGCCCAGGCTGCCCTCAAACTTGTAGTAATCCTCCTGCCTCAGCCTTCCAAATGCTGGGATCAAGGCATGCGCTAGCACCCCTGGCCTCCTTAGGTCTTCATTATGGCACTCTGGAACCTCTGTAACCCTTGCATTCCCTTGGCTCAGCTAAGCTCCCAAAGGAGTCACCTTGTCAAGAAACTTTCTCTTCATCGATCTCCACAAATGTAAAACATAACAAGGCATATTAACAGGTAAATTTCAGGGCTCCTCCATCCAAGGGCATCCCCTCAGCAGGTCCAAAAGGAACCCACAGCCTCGTCTCTGTATGCCTCTTGCTTACATCAAAACAGTGACTCCCAAAGGAGGGGAATTTAGAATTGTGTCACTCCAACAGAAAGAATCTGGGTTGAAAGCCAGGTCTGAAGACAAGACTTTAAGCAATGGTAACAAACAAAGTACTTGGCTAAAATTTAGGCAGAGTCAGAAAGACTCTTTTGCAGGGCTTCACCTGACCTTCATGGAAAACATACACAGTATGTACACAAATATCTGATAATATTCACTTTTCTATGTGAATATTATAGTCATTAAGGAGATGTGAAGAAGCCAACGGTCAGAAACCAAATCCTGGAGCTCTGAGTTCTCTGCTATGCACTCTATGTCCAGTGTCCATCACTCAGACCACAGAGATTGCTGCAGAGAGGCCGGTGCAAAGTACATACAAATGAGGAAAACAAAACTTAGAGCACAAAATAATTCCGGAGAGAGGTGCCAGGGAAAAAGTCCTCCAGGCCTAGGGCCGGAACACGTCTGATGTCCTAGGCACAGATCCTGCCACTGGCCTGGCAGTGGCACCGGGCCATGGCGGTGTGGCCACGCGAGGTGCTGTGACCCTCGGGGCACAGGAGGCGAGCACGGCGCAGGGCAAGGGAGAGTACTCACACTGTCGTTGCTTCCTTTGTTGTCTTCATACTTGGTTTCTATGTGGATGGAGAATTTTGGCAGAAAGGAGCACTATGGAGAAAAAGAAAAGTTTCATTAGCACATAATTTTCCCTCTTCATATACTCAGTGTGGCCTCTGGCTATGCTCCTAGGCTGGAGGTGTTCAGATGCCATGTCAGGATCCAACTTGAGCCAAGGAAGGTCGCCTTTGGGAGAATGAGCACGAGCCCTTCCAGAAGCAAAATCAGAGTCAGTAACCAGAGTGGAAGGGGGGGCTCATCTCTACCCGCTCCCCAAACAAGTGTGAGCTGTGGGGCCTGGCCTAGCTTTAGAAAAACAAACCCGACACAGAGGTCAGTTCCAGGTCTGGAGGGAGCTCACCCTCGGGGAGTAACCGCCCCTGCTGGGTACCTGCGGACTGTGCCTCAACTTCCACATCCATTGAGGGAGAAGGTACAGCAGAGCTTCACAATCAGAGATTACTGACGTGGCTTAATTTATTATTATTATTTGCATTACTGGGGGTCAGTCCCCAGCCCTTTTTATTTGAGACAGAATCTAGCTAGGTTGCCAGGCTGGGTTTGAATTTATGATCTCCCTTCCTCAGCCCCACACAGTGCTTTGATGATAGGTGAATGCCACGGTGCTTGGTCTGACCTGGCTTTTAACACATGACGGATAAATCATCTAATTTCTCTGAATCCCAGCATTATTAAAACAGAAATAACATTACCTAGAACGACATTGTGAGGGAGGGGGCACAGCTCAAAGACAGAGCGTGCACACACGAGGCCCTGGAGCCAATCCCCAGGACATATGTGTCTTTCATTTCATTCTTAGTGGCTACTCAGTGCTCAGCACTGTCGCAATCAGTACGAGGCTGCAGCTGAGCCTGACCAGAATAGTTAGCTCGTCTTTTTGGCTGTACAGGGGACAGAAACCCGAACTGCAGCGCCACTCTAGTGTCTCGGTCTTGTGGAGTCTCATTCTGTGCAGCCAGGAGAGTCTAAGAGTTAAGGCACCTCGAAAAGAGGATTTTGACTGCTAGTTGTATAACCACCCCGCTGCTGGCATGAACTGGGCAGCCTACTTTCAGCCACGAGAGATGGGAGTGAAGACTAATGGATGAAATAACCCCGCTGCTCCCTGGGAGCAGCAGGTGTTGGAGAAATGAGTCTTGGCTTGCTCTGCTCACAGTCCCACGAGGGTGGGCTCCTTTTGTGTTCATCCAGCACTGAGAACACATGCTCCCTGCGTCAGACACGCTCTGGATGCTTTGAGGTGTCACTCACATATTCCTTGTAGTGACACCAAGGGACAGGCAGGGATTCCTGCTTTCAAGATGAAGAATGGAGGTATAGAGAAGTTACGTGTGGGACCCACCATCACACAACCTGGGTGTCTGAAGAGTCTGAACTGAAAGGCAGGCAGCCTGGTCCCAGTGTCCATGCTTTTTATTGCTCCAGGGGCTCTCAGAGTGACTCCTTGGTCTAGCAGCAGTAGCAGCAGCAGCAGCATCACCAGAACTTGTTAGAACTGCACTTGTTCAGCCCTGTCCCACAGCACCCAAATCAGAAACCTTGGAGGAAGGGGTGGAGCACTGGGGGCCATAAGCCTTTTAGGGTATTGTGGCTGCATGACCCTCCATGCACCTCACCATACCATTCTTGAGAAGCAAACAGCTCAAAGTCCACAAGCACCCACCCCCCACCTCAAGGGCATCATCCCTACAATGACCACGCTCCCCTGCCCACCCAGCTGAGGCCCCAGGGCACCCGTACAAGAAGCGAAGATCTCACCCGAGCTGTGGCTAATTCCCTGACATCACATGCCTGTGTGGATTTGGCGTCCGTGTCTTAATCTGAGTGAAACAAGCAATCTGGACTGTGACTAAGGAAACGTGAAAACAATCGATCCCAGTAATTGTCTTACGGCGACCAGGCCCCATGATTATTCACTGACGCCTTCCTGTGCTTCCTCTCCAGCCTCACTCGGTCACTGCAGCCCTCACACCCAGTTCCGGGCTGTTCCCGGGAGGAGGCTGCTCTTCACCCACACAGACCAGGCAGGACTCGAGCCCCCAGCAGAGCTTTGACTGGTTCTCGTACATGTGGGAGAAGCACTTGCGGTGAGACCTTTTTAAAAATACTAAGCCTTTATGCCAGGCTGACGAGTTCAAGCAGCGCATGAGTGCGCTGTGGGCCACCAAATAAAATACTGCAAGATTTTTCCACTGAATCTCTAAACCGCTTAGCTGGGTCAAACAAGTGAATTTTCACATCTGGGTATTAGATCTAAATATGCAATGCAAAAGCCCCATGCAAATTAGCAGATGTTGGTATTTTTGAGTCAAAGACTTTGGTTATTTTCATATCAGAAGATGAGGTGAGTGCACCTGCATTCAGCAAAGCCTCAGGAGCACCTGAACCAGGTGGCTGGTCAGCATTTTCTCCTTGGGCAGGAGGTTTGGGACCAGTAATCCCTTTGCTGTATCTGATGCCTGGAGTCTGCAGATGACTCAAGTTAAAATCAGAAGTTTCTTTTCCAGAGCGGTCATAAAATGCTTTCTGGCGAGATGTCCATCTTAAGACAAATTTGCCAGCCCGGAACCAGTTAGTGTTTCTAAGTCCTGCCGTCAAGTCCTAGGGGAGCTTCTCTTTCCTCTCCCCTTCAGTTAAAGCTCACCTGCTTCTCTCCCCACTGGGAGTCTGGTTTCCCCTTTCCTCTCTGGCAGGCTCAGATTTTGAGGAGTCTGACACACAACTTTCTTTTCCTCCACTGTAAATCAGCTTATTTCTTTGTGTTTTTTGTTCTTTATGAATCCAAGAAAAACCTTTTTCCCAATCAAAGGAATATAATGAAAAGAGCTGACACTGGAGTCAGCTGGGCTCAAATCCAAGCTGATTGACGTGGTCAGATTATTTACCAATCCCAGCCTCAGTTTCTCCATTTATAGAGTGGGAACACTCCTCTACTCTGCAGAAGCATTCAGAATGCCCATGAGATCACCCACATCACCCCCAGCACAGTACCGGCCATGCTGCAGGATGCACAGTAGAAAAGTATTCATATGGTCCGTCTCTGGAATGTGTCTCACTGATTATCATTATTTCTTTCTTTGTTTTTACACTGCTGGGGATCAAACTCAGGACCTCACACATGCTACGCAAGCCCTGCACCACGGAGCTGACTCCCCAGGTCTTTATCGATTTTGTTGTGTCTTCTACCTGACTCCTTTCACTCTTAATAGCACAAGGAGAAAGTGACGTTCCTAAAAGACAAATAAGCTGAAGTTCTCTGTCCATAATCAGTCTCATGTTTTGTTATCTTCACAAAACGCAGTCAGAGCAGGCTGGCTCTATGTTTTTGCCTCTCACCTCCTTTCAACGTGTGCAACTAGGTACGGAATGACTGAGTCTCAAAGTCCTTCCAAACCAGCGTCTCTTTCCCACCCACTCCTGGATACCCGTTACACAGCTCAGCGCGACAAGCGCAGCCTCGGTCCTCCTTCCCGTGTACATGATTCTTCTAGCTTCTTCTTGCTCCTGACTCGCTGTCCTGATCCTCCTCACGTCTGACTTTTTCATGACCTGCCCCTGCCCCACGCTTGCCTCACACTTGCATTGCTCCTGCCTTCTCCTCTCAGAGTGCTGAGATTACAGGCACGCACCACCACGCCCAGCTTTTCAGTTCTTAAATAACAGTCGCACTAGAGAGTAGTAGTCCTGGCTGGACCTGAACTCACCCTAAATTGCCCTGGCTGACCGTAAGCTTGTGATCCTCCCAGGGGCTGAAGTGACAGATGTGCACCGCCAGGCCAGTTTTTGTGATTGAGTATGTGTGTGTGCCTCCAAAATCAATGTCTCTAATTGCAACTTCTCACCTCTCCAGCTGCCACAGGTCACCCCCACCAAGTGTCCTCTGAGCACCCCAAAACTGTAAGGTTCGAACTGAATTCAAACATTCCTCTTCCTTGTATTAATTTCCTAGAGTCGTTCTAACAAACTACCACAAACTGGAGAGTTCAAAATAACATTTATCCTCACAGCTCTGGAGGTCTGAAATCCCCATGTTGGCGGGGCCTCACTCCCCGGAGGCTCCAGAGAAAGCACCCTTCTTCGTCTGGTCCAGCTTCCGGTGGCCCCGGGTGCCCCAGGACTTGTGACTGCATCCCTCCAACACTGTCTCCTTCAAATCGCCCCTAAGTTGTAAGTCCATCTTCCATCACTTCTGAACGATTCCCCACGGGGCAGGCAGCATTCGGCTTGTCCCTTTGTCATGGTGCACATATCCCCTCACTGCTATTAGCCGCCTATGCATTTGCTGACCAACCGGATGATAAAGCCTTGACACCCACCATTGTTCTCAGCTTCCACCGCCATCAGGAGTGGTGTCTGTCACAGTCACCCTGGGACTCAGCATCAGAGCAGAGCCCTGCCCTCCTGCGGGCAGCACCCGTGCACGTGATGGGCTGCGGCTCCCGGGTGACTCCTGAGGGTGCATAGCCAGCCCTGGACGGAGACCAGGGTCAGGAGACTGTCACTGCTGAGATTATGCTGCAGTATCTAAAACTTCATTTTTTAAAAAGCAGAGTTTATTTGTTGGCTTTGAAGTCGTGAGGGAGCCAGGTGGCTGCTGGAAAACAGGACCTCAATTCTACAATCACACAAGGCAGTGAACCAGGGAATATGGCCTCTTTTGCAGGGGTCCCCTCACCTCCACAGCAGTCAACAATCCATGATTCACTCAAGCAGCTCACATGTATTTGCGTGCTATGTACAAATCTTTTTAAATCTTGATTATCTCATTTAATTATTTTTTTTTGGTACCGGGGATTGAACTCACGACCTCACACTTTCCAAGCAGGCATTGTGCTGCTGACCTCTATCCCCAGCCTTGCGACCAGGGAACTTGGAAAAGGATCCTGAACCCCAGAGGAGACTGAAGACTTGCCTAACCCCTCAGTTTCAACCTGGCCACTGACTCAGTTCACCTGGTCCTCAAGTGCTGACCAATGGAGACTGCAAGAGAAATTTGCCTGGTTTTAAAGTTGCTAAGTTTGTGGGAGATT